CCCCTGGACTAGACAGAAATGGTATAGGTTCTCCTGCTCGAGCAGGAGGCTGGACTAGAAGACCTCCAAGATCCCTTCCAGCTCTATCTATTCTATTCCATTCCATAATGCCCAGTTCCTAGGACTCTAGGCATTTAACAAGATGCATCACAAATTCTGTTAGCAGCTTTGAAAGTCTGGCTGGAGAGAATAGGGCAATCCATACCTGTTGCTATCCCTGCTACAGTAAGTAAGGGGTGCCTTAAAATTCTAAAATTTAATACAAATTAGAAGACACATTTGGAAATGGTTATATTAGACCAGGGGTCTTCAAACTTTGCCTTTTTATGATTTGTAGACTTCAACTCCCAGAATTCCTCAGCCAGGCATGCTGGCTGAGGAATTCTGGGAGTTGAAGTCCTCAAGTCATAAAAGGGCCAAGTTTGAAGACCCCTGTATTAGACTGAGGAGCTATTTGCTACTACTTTGCATTGTTGATTCTACCCTAGGACTGTGGAGTCCTTGATGCTCTCTGAGTTTGGTGCTTTGACACTCAAGTCCTTAATGCTCTCTTGAACTGACTTAAGAGTCCAAGCAAGACATTTGTTAAGTGTTAGTAACATGTTTGTTAAGTGAATCTGGTTTCCCCACTGACTTTACTTGTCAGAAAGTCAAAAAAGGGGATCACATGACCCTGGGACATTGCAGCCGTCAGAAATATGAACCCGTTGCCAGGCAACTGAATTTTTATCATGTGACCACAAGGATGCTGCCATAGTCATAAGCCAGATTCGCTTAGCAGTCGTGTTACTCACTTAACAACTGCAGCAATTCACTTAACAACTGTGGCAAGAAAGGTCATAAAGTGGGTCAAAACTCACTTAACAAATGTCTTGCTTAGCAACATAAATTTTGGGCTCAATTGTGGTCATAAATCAAGGACTACAGTATCTGTACCTGGTGGTTCAGTGGAGAATCTTCTGTGGAATGCTGTGCCATGGAATTCTACTCAATTTAATGTGGAAAAATACTTCCCTAGATCAATTACCCTTTGTGCATGAAAGTGTCTTAGGCCACCCGCTCTGAATAGTTTATATCCCAGAACCAGTAATCTTGGCCACAGGACTACCTGAGAGCCCAATTCATGCACTCTTCCCTTCCAAAAGAAAAGAGACCCCCCCCAAACCATGGCTTCCCCCCACCCAATAACACATGTCCCTTATACATATGTAGTTAGAACATCCAAGATGTTTCCAGTTTCTACACCTCCAAAGAGGATCCTGTTGAGCTAACGAAGTTGCAGAAAGAGACCAGTGGAATTATGAGGTGGGGAAGTTATTCCGAACTAAATTTCCATAGTAAGATAACAGGGGGTGTGATCAGGGTATATAAAATTACGAGAGCTGATGTGAAGACATTCCTTGCATCCTACATCTGCATCCCAGGATTGCCCATCGGAACTGTATTATGCAGAGATATTCGGGACAGATCATTTAACCAATGGAATTCTCTGCCATAAGATAGGGTGAACATGATATACACCATGGGTAGGCAACCTCGGCTCTTTTATGATTCATGGACTTCAACTCCCAGAGTTGAAGTCAGCATAGCTGACTCAGGAATTCTGGGAGTTGAAGTCCATGAGTCATAAAAGAGCCGAGGTTGCCTACCCCTGATATACATGAACAAGTTGAAAAGAAGATTAGACATATTTATGGAGGAGAAGGATATCCATGATTCACAGTCATGATGGCTTTGCATTGACTCCAGCCACAGAGGAAGAAGACACCATGTTCCCTGTTTCTGGGGACCAGGATGATCATGGTGCTTTTGAATGCCACCTTGATTGAGAGTCACCTGGAAATAATGTTCTGAACTAGGCGGACGGTTGGTTTTCTCCTTTGGTTGATAACAATCCTTGGAAGCAAATCAAAGGTCACGTACCCCCTATCTACACAGGCACCCCCTCTAAAACGTCGTGCATTAAGATTTCGGATTGGTGTGCTCCCTGACGTGCTTAATGACAATACTGTTGTACCTGGTTTGCTCTTCATTCTGCTTCGAGTCCCTTGCAATTTCTTTAACCTTTTGCATGTGTCTAACAATTTGGCAGAGATCCATCACCGCAACCCAAAACCTTTAAGCTCATTCTGAAGATGCTGTTCACTCTAATTCTTCACTAATTCAGGTACCTTTCATCTGAATTCTTAGGGTCTGTGGGGTTCACCTTAAAAGGACGGTGTTTATTCTTTTCTTAGTAACAACAATAATTCCAAGATCTTTTCTTGCCAATGGGAGAGAAAACTGGGAGGGGGGGGGGAAAACTCTCCCACCCCTTTATGATTGACTGTAGGAGATGTTGCCATAAATACTGGCTTGTTCAGCTCGTTCCTGAAGAATTAAAGGTGAAGAGCACTTGGTTGTTTGCTTGCTTTTGTTTCTGTTCTCTTTCATGGCCCTGATTAGCTTTTACAGCTTTATCTTATTTTTGTTAAAACGTTTTTGATCACACTAACCACAGTTGCCCCTTCCCTGCTCCTCTCTTTTGCTATGAACAACCTGACAACACCTGCCTCTGTTACCTATCCCTCTTTCCCTAACATCTCACCGTTGCTCCCAAAATTAAGCTCCTGTATTAGCTGCAAGAATGCATGCTTGGCATGATCCCGTTTTCCCCCTTTTTATTATTTTCTGTTCCGCCACAGTTTTGAATGTGCTGCTGTAAAAACAGAGCAAAAGCATTTGCTTGCATGGTTTTAATTAGCTGGTCTTTTAGGCTGAATTATTTGCGTTAACAGACATTGTGGATGAGCTGAAGGCCAGGCATTTATGTAAAAAGCATAAACTGGGTTTTGTATAGTTTTCTTTCGTAAAAAAAAAAAAAAGCTAAGAAATCCAATATCTCTGGAGATTCTCAGTCATCTAAGGTTATGATTGTCCCAAAGGTGCTTTTTCAACAGGCAACTGGACTTCCTTTGTTTTTCCTTGAAGACCTTTCGCTTCTCGTCCAAGAGGCATCTTTAGAACTGAAGAAGCGTCTTGGATGAGAAGCGAAATGTCTTCAAGGGAACAATCGAGAAAGTCCAGTTCCCTTTTGGAAAAGTATCTTTGGGGTTAAGAAATTCGGTTTTTTTTTAAAACGAAGTAATATTTTGCAACAAATCTACTTTAGTGAGATGGGCTGTGTAGAAATTGAATAAATAAATATCATTGTGTATGGAAAATATGGGGAACATGTTGGAAATGTATATCCTTTTCTTTCTTGTCCACACTGTAGCTGAACAAAGCATGATCTGCTCCAGTCCAAGAAAAAAAAAAACACAAGAAATTTTGTGCAAGATTTAATCTTTGCCCTCCTTTTCCGTCCTCTTTTGCCTAGATATTAATGACATCACTGAGATGCAAGGATATGGTGCCGGCTTCTTTTCATGGCAACTGGACCACTACAGGCAAGGTTCCTTATGTCTCTCATGCTCCACGGGTGGCTCTCCATACAACCTGCCCAGCTGCTGCACTTGTATCCATGACAGGTGAAGTAAACTCTTTAGAATCTCTTTTCAAGCCCCGTGAATGAATCTTGAAGAATTCTGAGGCGTTCTTGACGGAGGAAACGTAGCTACAGCCACTCGCGGAGATCAAGAAGATTATTAGGGCTTTTATTCACTGTTTATTTATTTGATTATTTTTATCCCCCCCCCTTTATTATTTTCATAAATAATTCAAGGTGGTGAACATATATAATCCTCTTATTTTCTCCACAACAACATCCCAGTCAAGTGGGTTGGGCTGAGAGAGAGAGAGAGTGGCCCAAAGCCACCCAGCTGGTTTTCATCCTAAGGTGGGACTAGAACTCACATTCTCCTGGTTTCTAGGCCAGCACCTTAACCACTGCCTCAAACTGGCTCTCTTTATTATCATATTTTAAAATTGAGTGTGCAAATTTGGTGTGTGTGTGTGATTGGTTTGAGTGACTTCTTAAAATCCGACCTTCTGCAAGTGACATTGTCTAAGCCAATGTTTCTTAATCTTAGCACCTTTAAGATGTGTGGACTTCAACTCCCAGAAATCTTCAGCCAGCATGCTAGCTGGGGAATACTGGGAGTTGAAGTCCACACATCTTAGCATGCTGGCTGTGGAATTCTGGGAGCTGAGGTCCACACATCTTAAAGGGGCTGAGATTGAGAAACATTGGTCTAAGCCAGGGGTGTCAAACTGGCGGCCCACGGGCTGGATGCGTCGTGCACACGCCACACCTACCCTGGCTCCACAAAGGTAAAAAAACGTTGCGATACATCATGTGATGCGATCGAGTTTGACACCCATGGTCTAAGCCAGGGGTAGTCAACCTTGGCTCTTTTATGACTCGTGGACTTCAATTCCCAGAATTCCTGAGCCAGCTTAGCTGGCTCAGGAATTCTGGGAGTTGAAGTCCACGAATCATAATAGAGCCAAGGTTGACTATCCCTGGTCTAAGCTGAGAAACTAAGGAGGGTTAAGTCTGGTTAATTCTTGCGTGTGATAGCACCAGGGCAATAGCAAGCTAGGAAATTGAATTACCTTCTGGAAATGACAACTCGGTTTTGGATTGTTGCTGCCCATGCTTGCTAAGAATTGTCCTCAACTCAAAGGAGGTTTTCCTTTTTTAAAAACCAGGATGAAAACTACACTTGCTTTAATTTAATTCAAAGACCTTAAAATAATTGCTGACAATCAACTGAATGTCAGCAATATCATGTGTCCTAAGAGCGGAAGTAGTTTGATAGTGCATACAGTGACTCAGAATCATGGAGGCATGGCGGAGTGGGGAGATGTCTTTCATTAGATGTACTCAAGTGGAAGTTAAACAGTCCTTTGCAGGAGATGCTTTAATGTGGATTTGTGCACTAAACAGGGTTGGACTCCATGGCCTAATTGATCCTTTTAACTTTAATTCTAGGTCTTTACTTTGGTTAGGTGTATGATGGGTACATGACTAGTGGAGAGGACAATGAGAATTAGTGGCTAAAATGTCAGGCTAACAGTAGGAGACCCTAGATTCAAATGGACTAAGAAATTCTCATTTGTAATTACACTGTGAGGTGATTAGCTTATCTCTGCTTGTTGAACCGTTGCGAAAACAGTGCAAAATAATCCTTATTACAACACCTTAAGCACCTTTGGGGAGATGGAGAAAAAATGAGTGGCAAAGACAGTTGCTGGTGGTAGAATAAACGTGTTTGATGTGTGTATTCTGATTGTTGCTTTTTTCCCTAACAGGACCCCTCTAAAACTGTTGTGTGAAAGTATGAAGAGGCAGATTGTTTCCAGAGCCTTCTATGGATGTAAGTTCTATTTGTGAGGCTGGATCCCAGCTGGGCAACAAACTAACTGCCCACTACACCTGGTGCCATCCAGGCAAAAACATCCATAGAAGGGCTCAAAATGAGGAAGTTGGTGGGTAGAGCAGAGGTTGAGAAATGCCTTAACTGTGGGGGGAGCCTCAAGGGCAGAATTAGCCTTGAATCCTTGTGTAGCCGCAAGTGATCCAGAATTGATATCCCTTACATGCCATAGAACCTTATCCATCTGTTCCCAGGCAAAAGTCGGCACTCTGGGGAGATTCCTGTACAAAATGCTGAATATAATAAAGTAATCGGCTTGAACCCTACATGTGGGGGTCTGAGTTGCTTGCATCTGACAGCAACCCAAGACCAACCTCATCCTTTTTATTATGTGTGTTGATATCACACATACATGGAAAATAGGCAGGGTTTTGTATCTCAGTGCTCTGTCCACCATCTTGCTAATTTTGATCCTCCCCTTCCCTCACATGGAGACCACTGTATTTGGGTACGGCACTTTTATTTATGAAGAAAATTTATATGGCCGCCTGATTCATTCACAGTGCACTCTGGGTAGCTTAAGAAGTAAAACCTCAAATACAAAACCCAATAGATCTCCACCCTCATGGTGGCAAGAATCAAACCAACCACTTGATGGTCTCTGTATCACCCTGGGATCCCCAGGTCCATTGGCAGAACCATGTCTTCAGGCCTTCAAAAGAGTGTCAAGGTGGAGATAAATCTTATCTCCAAAGGGATGATGTTCCACAGGGAGGGAGCCACCATGGAGGAGGTCCTTCTTCTTGGTCCCATTAGATGACCCTCCTTAAGAAAGTGGACCTGTAACATATGGTGTCTCCTCACTCTGGGAGTCAGGTAAATGTAACTGGGAAAAGATGGTCCTTCAAATAACACTGCAGCTTCCATCAGCCCAGCCAGCGTTACTGCTGGGTGGCCAGGTTGCAAAAGGTACAACTCTGAACAGGTCCAAAGGAATGGGATTTTTTACCTAAATGACTATGTATTTATTGGCCTTCAATTGCATCTGAATGGCACCAGACTGGGCAAAAGCAGAACTGTAGGCCACATAGCTAACAGCCATTTTGTGTGCTTTTTTATAGCAGTTATGCTTAAGAGGGGAGTCTGCATTTGAGAAGATGATGGATTTGAACTTGATCAACTTTCTGATAGTTGAGAGAATTGTTTGGATTAGGATTTCAGTAAAAATCTTCCTCGTCTATAGCCATAGGAAATAATCTTCATATTGGGAACTATCAGGACATTTTTAAAAAACAGAATATTTCAATATAATAAAAGTATACAAAATTAAAAGATTAAGAAAAAAAGAAAGAAAATAAGAACAAGATAGAAAGAAAAGCTTAGAATCATGATTGCTGCCCTTTTTTATTGAGTAATTGTCATCTTATTCTTTCCCCTTCCTCTTTGATTCTTTTTAATCCCCAAAGTCATGAATCATCCATTCAGTCTTTTCTTCTTTCAACAAAAGTCTATATAAGACTTCCAGTTTTTTTTTAAAAAAAAGTCTTTATATTGCTTCCTTGACTAAAATGATCATCTTTGCCTTTACTGCGAGTTCTATCAGTTTTATAATCCAATTTTCTACTGTGGGTATTTCCATATTCTTTTATCTTTGTGTGTGCAATAATCATGCTGCAGTTACCACAATATTAGTTTCCCATATATCTTTTCCAGTTCATCATTCATAAAATCCAATAAAAATTACAGTTTCATTGTAATAGTAATCTGCAATATCTTTTGCATCATTGTGCGAGTTTGCACACAAAATTTCTTTGTTTTTTCAGAAATCCACCATGCAGGATAAAAATTTTTCCCTCTTCTTTTTCACGCTTCCAACACTGATTTGCTATTTCTTTTATCTATTTTTGACAATTTAACTGATGTCATATACCAACTATACATCATTTTATAAAACTTATCTTGTAAATTTTGACACAGTGTTAAATTTATATCCGTTTCCTACATTTTTAACCCTATGCCCTTATTTATATGATAACCAAAATTTACAGCTTGAGAATAATCAAAATTCTATGCTGTAGTCCCAACCCTGGAAATCTCCCTTCCACCAAAATTCTGCTATTTTAAGCCAAGTTCATTTATTACTTTTTACAAGCTTGCTGACAGCCAGTCCACTAATAAAGTGGAATGTGCTGTAAAATAGTCAACAAAGTGCTGTTGTCTCAGAGCAATTCCTGGGAAACAAATTGGACTGCATACGATATAAATTTGATGACAATGGCTAAGGGCATCTGATGAATTTCAGTTAGATCAAGCTGGACATACAAATAGTCCTCAATTTATGACCATTCATGTAGAGACTGTTGAAGTTACAACGGTGCTGAAAAAAGTGGCGTACAACTGATCCTCTACTAAGGAGCTGTGGTGGCGCGGTGGTTAGAATGCAGCATTGTAGGCTGACTCTGCCCACTGCCAAGAGTTCGATCTGGACCAGCTCAAAGTTGACTCAGCCTTCCATCCGTCTGAGATCAGTAAAATAAGGACCCAGATTATTGGGGGCAATGTGCTGACTCTGTAAACCCTTAGACTTAGAGAGTGCTATAAAAACACGATGAAGCAGTATATAAGTCTAAGTGCTATTGCTATGATTGTCACAGCGTCCCTACGATGACATGGTCAAAATTTGAATGTTTGGCAACTAGTATGTATTTATGATGGTTGCCATGTCCCAAGATTATGCGATTGCCGTTTGCGACTTTCCCAGTTGGCTTCCGAGACATTGGGAGAAGCTGGATTACCTTAACAAACAACTGATTCATTAATGATCATGTGATTTGTTTAATGACCCCAACCAAAAGGTTGCCCAATTCCCTTAACAACCGCCTCACTTAGCAAAGAAGGTTCTGGCCCTCAATGTGGTCATAAGTTGAAGACTGCACATATACAGCTTCCTGTTGGTCAGTAAGTCACCAAAACACCATAATACTCTTGTTGGTTTGAACAATAAGTGCCAGACCTGTTAAATGTGTCTGTTGCCTTCTCCCCACAGGGCTCGCTTACTGCCGTCACCTGTCCACTGTCCGGACTCACTTGTCTGCCTTGGTGAACCATTCCATCATCCCACCAGATAAACCCACAAGTGCTGCAGAGGGACTGACCAAAGAGGTCTGGAGCAAGTACCAGAAGGATAAGAAGGCAAGACTGTGTGAATTAAATATAGATAGCCCTTGATTGTGATTATTCGTTTAGAGCAGGAGTCTTCAAACTTGGCCCTTTTATGACTTGTGGACTTCAACTCCCAAAATTCCTCAGCCAGGCACGCGTGGCTGGCTGATGAATTCTGGGAGTTGAAGTCCACAAGTCATAAAAGGGCCAAGTTTGAAGACCCCTGGTTTAGAGACTCTTCAAAGTTACGAGGGTGCTGAAAAAATAATAATGTTGATGGTAGTTTGTTCTCCGAGTTTGTTGTTCAGTTTCCGAATGTTTCGTCATCAGGCTAGTTGCAGTTCAGTGGATGATGTTACCTAGCCTGGTGACGAAACGCTCAGAAAGTGAACAAGAAGCTCAGAGAAAACTATCACCAACATCTACCACCTGAGCTGTAAATATTTTCCATCATTTCTCAATAATTAATGGCTCTCCTGCACTTGCAATCCTTGCCGTATCCCCACAGTCAAATGATTGTGATCTGGATGCTGGGCAACTGGCTTGCTTTTATGATAGATGCTGTTGTTCTTAATGGCTCAGAATAAAAGTTGCATGTTCAGTGTATCTCTGAACACGGTACAGTGTTTGTGGGGAGAGCAGCACAGCAGAGGATCCCAGAGGTCTTTGGAGTTGGGTGACCAGCAGTTTGAAATAAATAAAGGATGTCTGTTTTTAGAGACATTGGCTGACCGTTGTGTGTGCTGAATTGGATGTACAGTAGCTTTCTTTGATCCAGCTGGATTTCCTTATATTCTTAAGAGGAATCATTCTCCACATTATATTTCAGGAATAAACCTGTTATGGATTGCAAATTCGTTCTCCTTTTCTTGACCCTAAATCAGAGTTTCCCAACCTTTCTGAGTTGGCTGCCTGGAGCGGGAGATGGGGCGGGGTGGGGGAAGAGGGGATAGTTTTGTTGGAGGGGCAGCTGCGCATGCACACGTGCAAGGACTCATTGCTCGCGCGAGTGGGGCCGGGAATGCCCATGACACTCACACAAGTGGGGCCCCGAGAGCTCCCACAAGTGAGGCCCCAAGCGCCCACAACACTTGAGCAAGTGAAGCCTCGAGCACCTGCAACACTCGCATGAGTGGGGCTACGAGCCCCCGCAATGCTCCTGCGAGTAGGGCTGTGCGTGCGCACGCACTAGCCGGACACTCATGCGGCCCAGTTGGGTATAGGCTGCGGACCGGTGGTGGGCCACAGCCCACAGGTGTTGGGGACTCCTGCCTTAAATGGAACAATTCATGCATAAGAGGGGACTCGTCAGCTTCTTGATGAGAGGGATTTACTCTCTGCCCATAGAATTAATTTTAAGCACTAGAAGGGGGGAAATGGATGATGGTTTGACTGGCTAGCCTGGATATCAAATAGAAATGTCTCCCAGTATTATGTTATTTACTTATTTGTTATATTTTTATCCTATTTTTATTACTTTATAAGGAACAAGAAAGCAAATATACCTAATGCTCCTTCCTCCTCCTATTTTACCCACAGCAGCAACCCTGTGAGGTGGGTTGGGTTGAGAGAGAATGACTGGCCCAAAGTCACCCAGCTGATGCCTAAGGTGGGGCTAGAACTCACAGTCGCCTGGTGACTGGCCCAAGTCACCTAGGTGGCTTTCATGCCTAAGATGGGGCTATAACTTACAGTCTCCTGGTTTCTGGCTAGGTGCCTTAACCACTAGACCAGGGGTAGGCAACCTTGGCTCTTTTATGACTCGTGGACTTCAACTCCCAGAATTCCTGAGCCAGCATGGAGACCTCTCCATTTCTCCTCAGCATGGCTGGCTCAGGAATTCTGGGAATTGAAGTCCACGAGTCATAAAAGAGCCAAGGTTGCCTACCCCTGCACTAGACCAAAATGGTTGTACATTTTTGGTTTTGATCAAATCCTAATTTTACAGCCAATTCCATCTAAGCAAGTAGCTGTCTTTACCATAATGAATTAGTTATCTTTAGCTATAAAAAAGGAAAGATTTTCCACTTCTGAATTAGTGGGCGTTTGCTAAATTTCCCATAATTCCTCTCTCTCAATTTCACTCTCACTGCCTTTCATATTAGAATTACAAGGAATTGGAGCTGCTCAGACGGGTCTACTACGGTGGGGTGCAACATGAAATTCGGAAGGAGGTGTGGCCGTTCTTGCTGGGACACTACAAGTTTGGCATGAGCAAGAAGGAAATGGAACTGGTACTTAATTTGTCTTCAGTATGTCCAAGACAGATTCTAGAACAGTGGTGGCGAACCTATGGCACGCGTGCCACAGGTGGCACGCAGAGCCGTTCCTGATGGCACGCAGAGCCTTTCCTGCCTCCCTCCTCTTTGCGCATGCGCAGCTTTTTTCTATATAAACTAAAGTAGTTTCGGTTTCGGAGCACGTGGCAGAAAGCGAGACAGAGAACAAGCGGCAGAAAGCAAGAGAGAGAACTTTGCAAAAGCGGTAAGTTTCGTCTCTGGCCTGCCGCTGAGCTTCCTCTGCTTGCCACCGGACACCCCAGCGGCCCCAGAACACCCTGCCCGCATTTCCTGCAATTTCGCAGCCGGCCCAGCGACTAAAAAACACCCCGCGGCCTCTGGCATTTCCCGTAAATTTGCAGCCGGCTTCCCCTCGTGCAGCCCACCCCGCGCCCTCTCCGCCTGCCTAATACTGGCCCAAATCTTCAGAGATCGGTCTCAAACCATCCTGACCTGCCAGGAACAATACTAGGGGGAGGGAGAGAGCGACCTGACGAGCGGAAAAACACGCACACGCGTTCCCGGGCCCACGTACTTTCCGTGGCCAAGTTCTTCCCTTCCTATCCCTACCAAGGCACAGCCTGCTCCAGGCACCTGTCGCCCTTAGAGCGCAGGCTCCTCCCCAGCTGACTGGCTCGGCCTCCTCCAGTCCGTCCTTCCTCACCTGTCCCGCGGGTCGACCCAGCTGGTGGTTTTGGTGGCGTGGTCGATGTCGCAGTCGCGAGCTTCCTCCCAGCCTTCGGGCAAAGGTAGCTCCTGCCGGGGCATTTTTCCCGGCAGCAGGCGCAGCAGTGGAGAGACGGACCGAGGCTGGAGGCAGCGGCGGCCACCCCATGCAAAGGGTTCAGCAACCCCCCCGCCCAGCCCAGCAGCTGGCACGCCGGGCTGGGGCGAGGGGTCGCGGCAAACAAGGAAACCGGAGCCAGGCAGCCGACCAGGTGGGAGTCTCGCATCCTCAGCCGCGCAGGGAGTAAGGAGAAGCAGCACATGTGGGGAAAGAAGAGCTTTCCGAATGTTACAGGCAACACGCGACAGCCCAGGCGAGCCGGGCTGGCTGGCTGCCTGCCGTCCGTCCGTCCTCTTCCGATAAGCGAGCCGGTCGCCTCTCCCCCGCTTCTCTCTCTCTCTTCAGCAAGATACCCCCGAAGCCAGAGAAGGGGGCGGAGCTACGCTGCCGTGGAGCCTGGTGCCTAGAGAGGTCGAGCCCACTTATTTTACCGTGCTTTTGCTTCCAGCGAAGTAGAGCCGTCAGCTTAGCCAAGGCTCCGATGCCAAGCTTGCTTAAATCTTCCACCTCCTCCTCACCAGAGCCCCCCTGTCTGCAACCTGCTCTAGCCCCTGCCTCACCTTGCCTTGCCCCAGGAGCAACATCGAGGTGGCCACGCCCATTTTGTGACCACACCCACTTGGCCACGCCCATTTTGTGGCCACACCCACTTGGCCACGCCCCCGGCACCCGGCGATGTATAAGTGGGTTTCAGGTTGCAGTTTGGGCACTCGGTCTCTAAAAGGTTCGCCACCACTGTTCTAGAAGATGATAATTCAATGTATTGGGAGACTCGGTAATATATACAGAGGGATCCTAGTTTCAGTTCCAGCATTTCTGGTTAAAAGGACAAAATAGTGGAGGATGGGAAAGACTTCTCCAATATCTCTGAAAAACCATTCACAGTTGAAACAAGAAAATACTGAGCTTTGCAAAGTTTGTCGGCTGGGATTTTGAAAAGCAAAACAAATGGAAATGTGTATACTTCCCCAGGACTTTTCATCATGAGAACTAAAAAACACACCCAGCAAGGTCAAATGTGTCCTTCAGGGCTGCAGTTTAGAGTCAAGCAAATCTGTCACAGATTGTATCTCGTAGGAGATGACCAGGCTAAGCCCGAGGGAGGGCTCAAATGCGTCATTAGTCATAAGTCCCTTCATGCCCACAAGAGATCTAAGTCCACCATGAATTCTTTATCCACCGCCAAATTGCTTTGACTGTTAGTAGTTCAGATTCAGCTTAAGCTTACAATAAATTCCCTGGAGCTTGACAGTATCATTCCTTATGTTTCTGTGGAGTTGCTAGCCTGAATTAAATTCTTCTCTTCCTTCCTAAGGTGGACGAGGACATTGTACGCCGGTACCAGAAGGTGATGAGTGAGTGGAAAGCCTGCGAGGTGGTGGTGAAGCTTCGGGAGAAAGAATCTCAGACGGCCACTAAGTTTTCCTCCGGGAGCAGCATAGATAGTCACGTGCAAAGGCTGATCCACAGGGACTCCACCATCAGCAATGATGTAAGACTGAGGGGGGGGAACGATGGCCCTTTTATGACTTGTGGACTTCAACTCCCAGAATTCCTGAGCCAGCCATGCTGGCTCAGGAATTCTGGGAGTTGAAGTCCACAAGTCATAGAAGGGCCATCGTTCTCCACCTCTGATGTAAGATGATGGGCTGGGTCCATCAGTGAGGTCACATCTCACTCTGTCATATGAACATCTGCAACGCAAAGACCGAGGAGCTCTCATTTCCTTCCATATTTTCATATCTTAGGATTAACCAAGCAGATACAAGTAGTCCTTGAGGTACAACCATTTGTTTAGTGACCGTTCAACGTTAAAACGGCACTGAAAAAAGTGTCTTACATTTACAGATAGTCCTCTATTTATGACCACAATTGAGCCCAAAATTTCCGTTGCTAAATGAGACATTTGTTAAGTGAGTTTTAACCTGCTTTATGACCTCCATTAGCCACCGTTGTTAAATGAATCTGGCTTCCCATTGACTTTGCTTGCCAGAAGGTTGTGGAAGATTATCACATGACCCCATGATACCGCAACCGTCATAAATATGAGTCAATTTCCAAACATCTAAAATGTGATCCCAAGGCCATGGGGATGCTGCAACAGTTGCAACTATGAAAAACGGTCATAAGTCACTTTTTTCAACTTTGAGCAGCCACTCAACAAACTGTTGTAAGTCAAGAACTACCTGTATAACCATCACAGCAACATCAAAATTTGGGGCTTAGCAACCAGCATGTATTTACAATGGTTGTGGTGTTCTGGGGTCATGAGATCACCATTTGCGACCTTCCCAGTCACAGCTTCTGGCAAAGTCAACGAGGGAACCCAGATTCACTTAACAACTGCGGCAATTTGCTTAACAGCTGTGGTAAAAAAAAGTCATAAAAACCGGGCACGACTCACTTTAACAACCGCCTTGATTAGCCATGGAAATTCTGATGCCAATTATACCGTGTTTCCCCGAAAATAAGACCGGGTCTTATATTAATTTTTGCTCCCCAAAACGCATTAGGGCTTATTTTCCGGTTAGGGCTTATATTCTGGGAAATACAGTACTAACTGTATTTTTAATAATTTTAAATACTTGAATCCCAGATGTAAATATTTAGAAAACTAATAAAGCTACTGAACTCCGGGATACAAAAGAGCCTTTTTAATTACTGAGCTTTCGTCAACCTCCTGTTGACATCATCAAAGTAAGGGCTAAAGGTGGGAATAACCTACATATATACCTGTGTGACAGTTTAAATGTCAGGTTATAGAACGTGTAACCAGCTTGCCCGCCCCCCGTTCTCTTGTATTCAGCCGCACTAGTTCCAGCCCAGCTGCACGAGCCGGGTTCCGCCCAGATCTTGACATCTTTCCTCCCGCCAGCTGTTCGGCGCGTCTATCCTGCTGCACGCGGCCGTTCATTGTCGTCGCTGGACCATCACTCATGCCGTCCCATTCGATCGTGGTGTTGGTCTGCCGTTTAGGCACGTCAGCTGTCAAAGTCCTCACAGAGCGTGCAATCGGTTTGCCTGCCCCCCGCTCTCCCGCATTCGGCCACACCAACTCCGGCTCTGCCGTATAAGTTGGCCCTCGTTGCAATCTTGATACTCTCTCCTTCACCAGTTGCCGGGTGTGTTTATGCTGTTGCGCGCGATCGTTCGGTGCTGTGGCCGGTATTAAATGTATCAGTCTGGCGGCTGATCTTAACTGGGACTTATTTTGGGGGTGGGGCTTATATTACGAGTGTCCTGAAAAATCACGCTAGGGCTTATTTTCCGGGAAACATGGTAGTCATATATCAAGGTCTACCTGTTCTTCTAAAGAGAACATACAAGGGCAATCTTTCCCTTGTTCTTTGGTCTCCTAACAGCCAATATCCCAAAGTAAAAGCTGCAAACAAATGTTATAGCATCATGTTTTTCCTTGAAAAAAAAGTCCAGCTAGCTATTCCATCTTTGATTTAGCTATATTGATCCACCTTGTGTTTTTCCAGGTGTCCTTTTATGTTCTGAGTTATGCTCGAGGTTTATTGGATTTCATGGGGAGGATTATAATTATTTTTCTCTATATTGTAAATCTTAGGATTCTTTCAGCTGTGCTGTTACTTCCTTTTTAGATCCCATAAGTCTCTTTAGATCCCATAAACCCCTTTAGCTCCCATGAGCCCCCCTTTTGGCTATAATTTCATTGGCAGCTGCCACCTGCATTTGCTTTTAGAAGGAGTGAAAAAAGGAGCCCTGCAAAAAAAAATAAACTTGGTTCTATTTTGTTCTGAACTCCAGCTGTTTTTCTCCTTCAAACCACTTGGTTTTCCCTTTGTTCTCCTCTTAACAGCCATGCAACGTTTTGTGACTTGGGCATTTTGTGGCCCCTAGACGGTATCCAGCCCTTTAGCTGTCTCTTTCTGGCCCCCATGGATTCTTTTATTTGGAAGGGGACTGCTATTTTTTTTTCAGCTTACCCATGTGCCTGCATGCATGCCTATGCATCTTCACAACTCTGTTGGTTTGGCCCTCCACAACTGTCCCAGTTTTTCATGTGGCCTCTTGGGACAATTAATTTCCCACCCCTGTCATTGACCACACTGTCTTTCTGTTAGGCCAGGGGTAGGCAACCTTGGCTCTTTTATGACTTGTGGACTTCAACTCCCAGAATTCCTGAGCCAGCATGGCTCAGCTTGGAAACCTCTCCCTTTCCCGTCAGCATGGCTGGCTCAGGAATTCTGGGAGTTGAAGTCCACGAGTCATAAAAGAGCCAAGGTTGCCTACCCTTGTGTTAGGCAGTTTGGGGGATGGAGGTTCCCTCTTGTCTCTGGCAAAAAATCAGCAGGAGTCAGGTAAGACTTTTTCCAACTACAGATAGTCCTCAACTTATAACCACAATTGAGATGTCCTTAAGCAGAAGCTAAATAGATCATACTTGGAAGTTTAATAGGGTTTCCACCCTGCATGGAAAGTGGATTCATGACTTCAAAGGCTTGCCTCCAGACGTTGTGGGTGTTCCATCACTGGAGGTTTTTAAGAAGAGATTGGACAACCATTTGTCTGACATGGTTCAGGGTTTGCTACCTGAGCAGGGGGTTGAAAACCTCCAAGGTCCCTTCCGTTATTCTGTTATTCTGTTATTCCTTCAATTCTCTGGCTGTGTTTGCACCTCACATTTAACCAAATCAGCTTGTTACAAACCAAGAGCTGAGTTCACCCAACATGGAAAGATTAGTTGAAGCTTGGTCATTATTTTGTGGCTCAGACTGACATGTAAATTTGATGCTTTATGGTTCAGGTTATAGCAAGGACCAGGAGATGCGTTAATTCATTAAATATGTTCAGCAGTGTTGTGAGAAGACAGAGCCCATTACTCTTTTCTTACATTAATTAAGAGCCCTGGTGGCACAGTGGTTAGAATGCAGTATTGCAGGTTGACTCTGCTCACTGCCAGCAGTTCGATCCTGATCAGCTCAAGATGGTCTCAGCCTTCCATCCTTCTAAGGTCAGTAAAATGAGGACCCACATTGTTAGGGGCAATATGATGACTCTATAAACCATTTAAAGGGTGCTGTAAAGCACTATGGAGCGGTATAACAGGTGGTCCTCGACTGACGACCACAATTGAGCCCAAAATTTTTGTTGCTAAGTGAAACATTTGTTAAGTTTTTGCTCCATTCTGCAACCTTTCTTGCCACCGTTGTTAAGTGAAACACTGCAGTTGTTAAATTGGTAACATGGTTATTAAGTGAATCTGGCTTCCCCATTGACTTTGCTTGTCAGAAGGTTACAAAAGGTGATTACATGACACACACATACACACACACACACACAAACACACACGGGAAACAGCAGCCATCATAAATTTGAATCAGTTGCCAAGCATCTGAATTTTGATCAAGTGACCATGGGGATGCTGCAATGGCCATAAGTGTGAAAAACAGCAATAAGTCAATTTTTCCAGTGCCGTGGTAATTTCGAACAGTCACTAAATGAACTGTTGTAACTTGAGGTCTGCCTGTATAAGTCTAAGTGCTATTGCTATTTGATTAATAATAATAATGATGATGATGATGATGATGGAAGGGACCTTGTAGGTCATCTAGTCCAACCCCCTGCTCAGGCAGGAAACCCTATACCATTTCAGGCAAATGGCTGTCCAGTCTCTTCTTAAAAACCTCCAGCGTTGGGGCATTCACCGCTTCTGGAGGCAAGTTGTTCCACTGGTTAATTGTTCTCACTGTCAGGAAGTTTCTCCTTAGTTCTAGGTTGCTTCTCTCCTTGATTAGTTTCCATCCGTTGCTTCTTGTCCTGCCTTCAGGCGCTGTGGAAAATAGCTTGACTCCCTCTTCTTTGTGGCAGCCCCTGAGATAATCTTCCTTGTCTTCTTTCTCCCTGACTGACCTATTGCTCTTCGCAGGTGTTTATTTCTGTGGATGAAATGGACTCCGTAGAGAGAGAGCTGAAGGCCCACGAAGAACGGTCTTTAACCAGGGCTTGCCTAGATGCACCAACAGTAGTGGTGGCAGTTGACCAACAACAGTCAGTAGAATTTGACTCTCCTGACTCTGGGCTCCCTTCTTCTCGGAATTACTCAGTCACATCAGGCATCCTCTCCAGCATCGATGATGGGCAGAGCATCTGCTTTGAGGATGGGACCGAAGAGGAAACTGGCCCGGAGCTGCAGAAACCGGATTTGGATCATGTTTCACCAATCAAGGGCTTGGCTCCTTCGGGCTGTGCAATGGAGGAACAGCTGTGTTCCCAAACGGACTCTAAAACAGCTGCAGAAGAGACCATCTCTGTGTGCTCTGCTGCTTATACGGTAGGTAAGGGCCAAGGGCAGACCTAGGCATGCACAGGTAGTCCTCACTTAATGACATTTGTTTGGACTGGAATTTCACATCCTCTGTTAAAAGGATGGGCATAGGCATCAGGAAGGGTATCTGGCTAGTAAATGCTCAGATCCACCCAGTCGGCCCAACTCTATCCCAAATTAAGGGATTACAGGATCATCAAAAGGGAGTTTTTTATTTATTTAAAAGGCCGGCATGACCATATTCTGAAAAATACGGCTTGAAGCTTAACACCTCAAAAACCAAGATCATGGTCGTCAGCAAACAACCCGTTAGTTTACCACCAATAAATTCGGAAGGAATACCATTAGAAAAAGTTGAAAGGATCACGCACCTCAGTTTTAATTTACATGAAAGCTGGGACATGGCCATTGAAGTAAAGACAAGGATAGAGAAAGCTCGAACAGCATTCTTCAAAATGAAAAAGGTCTTCTGCAGTCACGACATAAGCCTAAGACTGAAAATCAGGCTTGTCAGATGTTATATTTTTTCTATCCTGCTCTATGGAGTAGAGAGTTGGTCTCTGACAGAAGGCCACCTGAAGAGACTAGAAGCATTTGAAATGTGGATTTACAGGCGGCTGTTACGTATAAGCTGGGTTGACAAGATCAGAAATGAGGAGGGGATAAGCCGCCTGGGAAAGCCAAAAGAAATCATCAAAACAATTAAAAAATGAAATTTAGAATATTTCGGACATGTGATGCGACACCCAGAAAAATACGGCATACTCCATTTAATCCTCCAGGGAAAGATTGAAGGCAAACGAGGTCCAGGCAGAAGAAGAACATCATGGCTTCAAAATCTAAGGGACTGGTTTGGACAAAACTCAGCAGCACTTTTTCATGCGGCTGCTGATAAAAACAGGATCGCCAACATGATCGCCAATGTCCGATAACGGATATGGCACAAGAAGAAGAAGAAGAATGACCGTTTACCTTAAAAATATACAACTCTGGGTGGCTCACAGCAATCACGTAAAACCAAACATTAAAATCAATAAAAGCCAAACATAGGAAAACAAAATTTGGCACTACAGCCAGTCTCCATTGATGCAACCAACACCACTATTCGTCAACTTCCCATTTTTATCCCTTTCATGGAATTGCTGCCCTTTTCTCTTATTTAAACTGTGACATAATTCTTTTGCTGTCCGGTGTCTTAGAAATCTTTTAAATAAAATAACAGACCACATTAAAAGGATGGGGATCATGAGGCTGGTATTATTTCAAATATGGATGTTGCTCATGTCTAGGAAAAAAGCGAGAACACAGTTTATTCAGATTTCTTTTAAAAAAAATGTGTACATCCAAGATCAGAATTAGTTTGCCACAGTTTTAAAATGCTGAATTTAGACTGAAAGCTGCTTTATTTTGAAAACCCTTGTGATACAAAACAGATTGCCCTATGTAGTTTTCCTGCTAAATATCTCATCCTATTCATTTTCTTTCCTGCAAAAAGCTCAAGATGATAAACATGGTATTAATCCACTAGTTTTTATCTTTACTGTAACTTTGCATGTTGATTAAGCTGAGATGGCAACAAAAAAAAAATAATAGGAATAAGAGTCCATTTAGCACATGGTGGCATCTCTGCTTTTTCAAATTTACCTGCAGAAATTGCTTTAAAATGAATGACCATCTAAAACCATGTCGTTCTGCAAAGGTCAGACACAACAGATAATACTGTCCTTTGTTTAGCAACAGGTTTATAACAAGTCTTTGTATTTTCCAGATAGAAATGCTGGACACTGTTGCCTTAAACTTACATAGAATTGACAAAGATGTTCAGAGGTGTGATAGAAATTATTGGTATTTCACTGCTGAGAATCTGGAGAAGCTTCGAAATATTATGTGCAGGTAAGTTAAACCTAAGAGAGAGATGCAAGAGAGCAACATCTGGAAATCTTAGGGCAATGTTTGTCAAGAGAAGAATTGAGCCTTGGCATTTGGAATCAGATGCAGTACGGCAGCAGGAAATCTTGAGATTACCCAGTAGAACATCTGGGGTGGCTTTGACCCCCTAGAATTTGTCGACTTATGTTTTCCAAGGCTGGTCTGGGCAAATCCAGTTATCTGGGTTAGAATCCCTGGAATGTTCTCTAGGGTGATATTACTGTTCATTGCAGGCCCTGAACATCACATTTTTAAATAAACTATGTAGATCTTAATGGTACCATACCAAACAATTTTTAATCTCATTAATGTTAGTGCCTAATTTGGGGAAAGAGGGTTGGGGCTTTTACTATTTTAATTAATGATCACACTTGCTGCTTGTACTGTGTTTAATTTTGTGAATTCTGTAAAATCCATTAGGTTTCAGGCTGTGGACCAATCTAATCTCATAAAGAAAGGGTCTTGGACTAGGTAAAACCTCGTTTACTGTAAGACTCAAGAAAATTAACGTATAAAATTACTCGGTGTTACGTGACTTCTTTGGGAACAAGAGAAAAACGACAACGTCGATACAAACCCTTGTAAATCTTCACCCGATGCAAGTTCCTTACACACTAGAGGATCGAGGAGAGTACCAATATGAACTGTTTCCACTCTTTCGGGATGGTTGCTTTTTCTAGCTTGTGCAGCCCTTAGTGCCTATATATTAAGGTGACCAACTTTTTTACAATGAAAAGGAGGACACAAATAAATTGAAGGAAAAAAAATACATTCTACATTTAGGCAAGAAAAACCAAATGTACAGGTATAGTATAGGGGGTACCTGGCTCAATAGTAGTAACTGCGAGAGGGAGCTCGGAGTCCTAGTGGACAATCATTTAAATATGAGCCAGCAGTGTGCTGCAGCTGCCAAAAACGCCAACACAGTGCTAGGCTGCATTAACAGAGGGATAGAATCAAGATCACGTGAAGTATTAATACCACTCTACAATGCCTTGGTAAGGCCACACTTGGAATACGGCATCCAGTTTTGGTCACCACGATGTAAAAAAGATGTTGAGACTCTAGAAAGAGTACAGAGAAGAGCAACAAAGATGATTAGGGGACTGGAGGCTAAAACATATAAGGAACGGTTGCTGGAATTGGGTATGTCTAGTTTAACAAAGAGAAGGACGAAGGGGGACATGATAGCAGTGTCTCAGGGGCTGCCCCAAAGAAGAGGGAGTCAAGCTATTTTCCAAAGCGCCTGAAGGCAGGACAAGGAGCAACGGATGGAAACTAACCAAAGAGAGAAGCAACCTAGAACTAAGGAGAAACTTCCTGACGGTTAGAACAATTAACCAGTGGAACAACCTGCCTCCAGAAGCGGTGAATGCGCCAACACTGGAAGTTTTTAAGAAAAAACTGGACAGCCATTTGTCCAAAATGGTATAGGGTTTCCTTCCTGAGCAGGGGGTTGGACTAGATGACCTCCAAGGTCCCTTCCAACTTTATCATCATTATTATCATTATCATTATTATTATCAAATTGTAAATAAAAGAAACATTTTATTCATTGCAACAATAATACAGACAACTTCCATGTGCAAAGTTTGCTGGCCGGGTGTTTTGGCACGCTCAGCAGCAATTCCTATTGGCTTTCGAAAGCCAATAGTGGGAGTAGCACAGCTCATCCAAAAGTTGAAAAAAAAAACCCATCAAAAAAAGGTGCCGGAACACCGTTCTGAGCATTTTATGAGAAAAAAAAAAAAGCCCTGCAGATTAGTCTTCAAATATGGAAAAGGAGGACATGTAGGAGGACACTTTTCGAGGGAGGACAGAACTTACAAAAGGAGGACTGTCCTCCCTAAAGGAGGACGGTTAGTCACCTTATAGCTATACACTTCATGTTTTTATGTCAGTCTGTCCATAATATCATATACAAACAACCTTCTCATTTCTCAATACATTGACACATCCAGAAATCACTGGCGGTGTATCCCTGGGCTCAAAAGAACTGTACATTTACAAAAACCAGAGGCAGAAAAACTGGGTCAGCCTCCCCACTTCTAAAAGGAGCCCCAGGAGGACTGAGCATGCTCAGTGGGTACATCGTATCGATTACTAGGGAGAAAGAAAGAATGGAATGATGGGTGATGAACATACAATCATAGAGCTAGAAGGGACCTCAGAGGTCTTCTAGCCCAACCCTCTCTCAAGTGGTTGTTCAGTCTGTTTTTGAAAACTTCCAGTGATGGAGTTCTAACAACTCTGGGAGGCAAGCTTATTCCATTCATTTAATTTTTCTTAAATAATTTAAAATGGGTTGTAAACAGGCTCCCTTAATATTACAATTTGTCTATAGGCTGTCACACCTCCCTGCCTACCCTAATACAGTACTAAATAGGTAGTCTGAAATCTATCACTAGAGATTTTCCTTGGGATTCAACTTCTCTCAGGCAGACCCTTCCCAGATCGCTCTCTCTCTTAAATCTCCCCCCTCCCTCTGCAAGTTCATCTTAGAAGAAAGTACCTTGCATTGCCGTGCTTTGATTGATTGATTGATTGATTGATTGAGAGTTCTAACATCCATTCATCTGATCAAAGAGAATATCTGTAGCTCGGGGTTGAACTCTGGGGTCCCTGGTGCCCTTGCGGCCATTTCATTACCAAACTAGGTAACATAATCAGTGCTAGTTGAGCAATGAAATGGCTGATCAACCAACCTGAAGCCCTCCAAATCCATTGGCATTGGCTCCCAGAGATCTTCAAATGGAGTCAAGCTATTCTCCAAAGCGCCTGAAAGCAGGACAAGAAGCAACAGATGGAAACTAATTAAGGAGAGAAGCAACCTAGAACTAAGGAGAAACCTCCTGACAGTTAGAACAATTAACCAGTGGAACAACCTGCCTCCAGAAGCGGTGAATGCTCCAACACTGGAGGTTTTTAAGAAGAGACTGGACAGCCATTTGTCTGAAATGGTATAGGGTTTCTGCCTGAGCAAGGGGTTGGACTAGATGACCTCCAAGATCCCTTCCAACTTTATTATTATTGTTGTTGTTGTTGTTGCATTTAATTTTCAGTCTGAGCGAAAAGGAAACTGTGAAACATGGGAGGGTCATGATATCATTGCTTTCCAATGGCAACACAGGTAGTCCTCGACTTACAGCCACAACTGAGCCCAGAATTTCTGTTGCTAAGTGAGAACATTTGTTATTTGGGTTTTCCCCCATTTTACAGCCTTTCTTGC